CAACCTCGCCGGCTTTATTCGAGACACCCAGGTCAATTGGGCGTTTTTAACCCCTTCCACAGCCAGAAGCCTCGACCCCTCAGACGTGCCCTTGTTGACTACCCTAGTTCTGGGAGGTGAAGCCGTGACCCACGAGAGCGTTGAGGCGTGGGCAAAAGGCCGCTCCCTCATCAACGGCTATGGCCCTGCCGAGGCAACGATCTGTGGAGTGGGCAATATTTCTGAGGCGGGATGGAAATCCGGCGTTATCGGTCGAATCGTTGGTGGTTTGGGCTGGGTTACTGTGCCATCAGACCCAACCAGACTGGCAGCGGTTGGCGCCGTGGGTGAACTTCTCCTCGAAGGCCCGTTCCTGGCCCGAGGATATCTGAACCTGCCAGAGGTTACGAGGGCCGCTTTCATTGACCCTCCCAGCTGGAGAAAACAGATTCCTGCTCCGTCGCCCTATCCTTTCCTCTACCGAACAGGCGACCTGGTCCGATATCAGCCGGACGGATCCATTCAATATATCGGTCGTAAAGACAGCCGTGTCAAGCTCCGAGGTCAGCTCGTCGATCTGAATGCAGTTGAGGCAAGTCTCATGAGAGTGTATCCGGCTGCAATTCAGGTGGTCGCAGACGTGTTGGTTTCCGACAGTACCGCCAGACTGATTGTCCTGATGAAGCTCGGCCCACCAGTGACAGAGACCCACGATGATCCCATGTTCGAGACACCAGACTTGGCTTTTAACGAGGCCGCTGCCTCTATTCAGGCTCGTCTTCGGGCCATTGTACCTCCCTATATGGTGCCGTCCATGTTCATTCCTCTACGTCACATCCCTCGCACCCTCACAGGCAAGACAGATCGTCGTCAGCTCCGAGACAAACTACTCTCATTATCACAAAGCGACCTCCAACGCTATATCATGAGCTCCTCGGCCAAGTCACCCATGTCTGATGACAGTGAACGGAGTCTTCAGGAGATTTGGGCAGAGGTGCTTCGGCTCCCATGCGAAGCAATCGGGAGAGAGGATTCTTTCTTACTCCTCGGCGGCGAGTCTCTAGCGACGATAAAAATGGTAGCATTGGCAAGGCGAGTCGGTTTCGTGTTCGCTGTGGCAGACGTTTTGAACAACATGAGTCTGTCAACCCTCGCGCGGTCCCGACATTTGATCACAGAGCATGATACCCCGAGCCCGTCACCCTCGCTCTCACTGTCAACCATCGACGGCCAGTCCCTCCAGGAGATTCTTCGACCATTACAGAACGGCGGCCTCATTCAAGGAGGCAATGACATTGCGGCTATTCATCCTGTCACCGCCGCGCAAGCATTCCTCGTACAGAGGTATCCATGGTCTCATTTCCAGTTTGACTTATCTGGGGATATCTCGCCCAGCAAGCTTCAAACCGCCTGCACTGCGTTGATGGCCCGATTCACTATCCTTCGCACGGTATTTGTCGAACATGCGGACCATCTCTGGCAGCTCGTCTTGCGGGAGGTGCGCGAGTGTGTCCATGAAATTACGACCGATGAGCCTCTCGATGACTTCTGTAATTTACTTTGTCAACAGCAGCAGGGCATCTGTGTTGTTAGCTCTACAGCACTGCCAACTCTGTTCACTCTCGTGTCCAACCGCCGGCTTAACAGATGTCGACTTCTGCTCCGCCTTGCTCATGCACAGTACGACCTCACCACAATCCCTCTAATCGTCCAAGCCTTGGCCGATGAATACAACAGAAAGCCCCGTGCGAGCTTCTCCTCCGACTTCAACTACTATCTCAGTCATCACATGCGGCAGACTAACGACGACAAGGCCCATACCTTCTGGAACCAGTACCTGTCGGGCTCCTCTATGACGTCTACATATCAGACTGCAAACACTACGACGCCTCAAAACCGCATCTTTCAGGTTACTGTATCATGCACAGTTACGCCCGCATCACATCCCCCCGGCATCACAACTGCCACCGCCGTCAAAGCCGCCGTGTGCCTGGTTCTAGCCTCACGGACCGGCTGCACAGACATCGTCATCGGTCAGACAGTGGACGCCCGTTCGGCTGACAGCACCCTTGACCAAATTGTTGGCCCCTGCACGAACTATATCCCGTACCGGCTGAGCGTGTGCTGTTCTAAAACTGCGTTGGAATACCTCCGCAGCGCGCAAGCCCAGCACACCACATCCCTCCGATACTCCTCCCTGGACCTCGACCAGATCGTGGCCAAGTGCACCAGCTGGCCGAGCAGTACTCAATTTGGATATATCGTCCAGCACCAGAACACTGGCGCAGACTTGGCTCTCTCGCTGGGAAGTGGCAGTACTTCCTCGCCGATGACTTCTTACGGCCGCGTATTTCCTCAAGGGGAGGTCTGGATCGGCTCGACGCCCCATTCTACTGGTCTGAAGATTGATGTCATCGCCCCGAGCGCAGTGCTAAGCCAGGAGGACGCTCAGGCTGTGGCTGCGGAGGTTGGCGCGGCGTTGGAGAACTTGCTTGGATGCGGAGATCGCCTTCTTTCGGATTTGATAGGAAATTCCTTCGCTAGCTAAGCTTATTGACTAAATATACACTCAAGTTACTTAGCTGGGTCGCAGGTACTAGCCTCTGGGCTCACGATGCTGGGGAGTCGAGAGAAGCTCATTGAGATAACGAGTCACGTTTTGAACGTGGTGACTTTCTGCACAATCTGGTTGCTGGAAGTCTTGATCTGGGTTGGTTTCTGGATTTAGACGTCGATCTATCGGCCGTGCTGCCTGTCGATAACCTGGCCAGCACCATAGTCACCCGTCATGACCCCAGACCTCAATATGATTGGCCACAACTATGACTTTTAAATGTAAGGGCGCCGGGCGTGAATGATTCCTTCAGGTTACTGGGTGCCGCTAGCAGAGGCCAGGGCCTTCTCACCTTCAATGAGTGGCGGCGGCAAGCTCTTGCCTGTGCAGCTGCTCATCCGACTAGTTCCCTTGCATGTATCGCGGCGGTTCTTGATGAACTCTTTGAACTCACTAGGGACGAAGCTGCTGCTATGATCAAGCCCTCTCCTGTGGAAAGCATGTTTTCGGAAGGGAGAGTTACCCAGTGCCAATGGTCATCGGCCCAGAATGTGCGCAGAAGTATACTGAACACATTGCTATGCCAGTACACGTCGCATAATGGCTATCTACCAGAGAAGCAAGTACTGTCATTCACACCGTCAAGTCGATCCACCGCCTGCGTCCAAGATTGCTCACACTTGTGTGGATATAGACACCGCCTCCTCCCTTTCTCAGTCTGCCCCAATGGCGGCTGTAGATGCCTCGTGGTTAGCACTCATTGCCAAATGCAGTATCAACACATGTTTGCCTACTTCCTGTTCAGTAATTTCGGTCTAGCCTGAGGATGGGCAGAAAACGTTTAGACTTGGATGGTTTGCCTTTACGTTCGGAGCTTCTAGCTTACACCTTATATTGCATGGCGATCATAATTTAGCGTGTGATATATCAGACCTTATGAATGAGGGTGGTATTAATGCTGGAATTATTGAACATATAGGGCAAATGACCCTGGTGGGTGTCTTATCGTGCACACTACCATTCAAGAAAGCTCAAGGTATCAAAGGATAAGCAAGCTCTAGGGGAAACAGCCAGGATAAAAGGAAGGAAGATATTTAGGTCTTTCTCCAGAATCTCCAAGTAGATTTTTCGAGCCTTCTTCCGTCGATGTTGTGCCACATATTCCAGGTTTCGTCGCCGGTCATTCCTTCGTTGCTCCGTGAATTCGGGTGCGAACGCTATAGCCAAACGCTCCCCAAGTAATTCAAGGGAGTCACTAGGGATTGTGTGCTTGACACTGAGTTTGTTCCATGCGTTGTAAATGAGACTCGAGGTGGTCTTTGTGGATGCCATGATAACCAGCGTGGATCGGACGACATAAGGGACCGACAGGTCACACTGGACAGACTGGACAGACTGGAAAGAAAAGTGATCGGTCCACGTGAATCCATTTGCAAACACTATCAACCCCGCTTTGTTATGTTACTGCGTGGGTTATGCGCGGCAAGGAGTCTCAATCCTTTCCAGTGCAATGTTGTTGGTTCAAACTAACCGCCTGTGATATCTTGTGCATTAGTGGAAGCGCCACTAGGCCTGTGAGGCTGAACTCTTTCGCGACCTGCATTTGTACATCTACCTACCTTTTTCGTATCCAATCATTCCTAGTTTCTTGCGAGCAGTGATAAGGGCATCTGTAGCAGTGCAGCAGGGTGGACTTCCAAAGTACCAACACTTTCGTCCCGTGCAAGCATCCAATCCCCAGACACCTGGAAACCATCCAAATGGCGCACTCCGGGATGTGGACCGTATGTGTTGATGCGCCAAATAGCTTTGTGGTCGAGGTTGAAAGTCCCCTTTCGACAGCACTGTTCCATCATTTACCCACACCGTATATATAAAAGGAATAAAGACTCCACTGTATTTCTCCATTTCCCTCGCCTCAGCCAAAATAAAGCTCCGGTCGGTTCTCCCATAAGTCTTGAACTCTTCTAGGAAGTGAGTTAATTTATTCCACAAGATATCACGATCTTCTGGTGAACCTTCATTAACATCCCGTTGAAGTTGCTTACCAAGCCAACGAAAGCCATGAGCCATAGTTCTAGCAGGTCGGGGTTTTGCTCTAATCTGGAATGCGGCCATCCTAACGGCATCCACAAATACGAGACCTGTCGTGAACCCGATTGTCGTGTCCAGTGGAAGAGATGTACTGTTCCTGGTGATTGCAACGGGCTCTACTACAGGATCTGCAAGACCTGTCGTGCTCATCCAGGAGGCATTTCACCTGATTGGGTTTATACCAGCAATATTCCAAAGGAGTCTTTGTGAATTTGATTCATCGCACCATTGTGGGTAGAAAGCAGAGAAGGCGGCGACCATGTATGCATAGGAACATGTAAAGAAAATCATACCTTTGTGAGGTTGGAATATCTCTACTCAAGATACATCTCTCTGGACTTGTATATGCGCCACGATATAAGTTTGGGTTAGGTCAACCGACAGTATTGAGCCAGGATTCAAGCAGATCCGCGGGGTTGTGGATCGGTCTTTGCAAGTCTCGGCCATCCGTCTCTTCAGTATTTATATCACTTTCGTCTTCTTCCCATATTTCCCTAAGCCAGTCGTCTTGATAAATGCTCTCGCGGGGTAGGCCCTCGCCACCGACAGACAACCATCGAAATATATCCAAAGACGCTTCCCGTGATGCTATCTGGTCAAAACTTGTCTTCTCAAAATCCCTCTGTGCCGTGATGTCGAAAATGTCCGAAAATTTTTCAGGCATGGCTAGTGTCGCTTGTTCCGAAAAGCCGCGGTCCTGGATCCTAGTCCCATCTTCCAGGTGCCACTCCCAATGATCATATTTGTATTCATGTCGAGGGCACTTCAAGTGTGCCATGACACGGAGAGCACAATCTTTTATGAGAGACGCCCCACAAGGTGACCAAGGTGTGTTGGGTCTGTACTGGTAACACAGATTATCTTCCTCAGTTGAAGGGAGGTGCATTAATCGCCAAACATCTGCTCTCAAGATATATTTGGGGTTGTCGCAAGAGTATGGACCTGAGCCTGGAAGATCCATGAAGCTTTGCGGACATCCAGTCCAGGGAAAGGCGAGCGGATCGAGAGGAGGCCGGCCTCCTCTTACCCTGTGGAGTATTTCTGGGCCTAAACCGCTTGCGACAGCTCCAATCCAGAATGCACTGAAATTCGGCTGGCGGATTGCACCAATAAAGGCAAGGAGTCCTGGATCACTCCCTGTTGGCGTAGAAGCTCCACCTAAAACCTCGTTGAGGACAGGATGTAGCCAGGGACTGACAAGGTTGCAAGGAATATCATGCTCCCAAAACGCCCCGCAGAAAGTTGACATCATCACTTCAGGGCTGCAACTCAGCGTCATGTAGTAAGGGAGGTCTTCCTTTAAGCTCATCCAGACGGGTGGTATGACATCAATAGGGGTATTGGGTTTTTTAGCACCAGTTGCTCTTGGCAGTGGTAGATTGGCAGATGAACCATAATACTTATGCGTGGGGATTGTTAAGGCCATCGTAAGTGCAATGCGAAATTGGCTGTGCAGTCCATGCAAACACGCAAATCCAACAAGAGCCTCAAACGCCCTCTCTGAGGATAATGGGGTCAGATCAGATGAAGAGAACCCCCCGTATTTAACGGAGAGACGCATTTCACACGTGCGGGAAACTGACCACGGGGCCAGAAATTCCCTTCTGGGGGTTCGTCTCACTGTAGCTTTCCACCCTTCATTTTGAGCAAGTATTGCGGACCACCATCGAGCAACACTCTCATCCACCTCTCCAACATCGACGACGTGAACTTCCGAGGAATCTTTATTGTTGTATCCGGCCTTATAATCAGTGTACCGCATAGAAGCCTTCTCTCCTTGCATTTCAACCAGCTGTGCAGATAAGACGTAACACCAGCCAATTGCAAGAATCCCCAGATAATTGGCCCCAGTGTAATTTTCTTCTCCGATTCCATTCCACGAACTGAAGGCATTCGCAGTGAAGCTGAAAGGCGTAGCAGTATCGTTGCCAACTTGTAGCAAAGCGAGATGTGAAATTTCTTTCTCGAGACTATCGCAGTCCTGATCTGCTGGCAGTCTCCAAGTACAAGAACCTTCTAAGCAAAGGCTAGGCGTTGGAGAGTTTCCGAAAGGGCGAACATGGAATCTTCCAGAGCGGGGTTGGAGTTTCGGAATCCTATGAAGAGCGTGACGAGGATTTACAAACTCTTGAATCAAGCCAGAAACCCGAATCTCGTAGGCTAAAGTTGCAACCTGGTACCAGTATTTGCGGCTTTTTTCCAGCGCCTCGTCAAGTTGTTGATCCTCCAGTTGGAGAGTATTGTTATCACGAATGATCTAGTACATGGGCGTCAGCATAGTTTAACCTGAGAGATGATTCTTCACTGACCGAAGAAAGTTCTGGTGGCCGGAAGTAATTGTTATACTTTCCCTTCATCGTACCCTGCATTGAAAGCGTTCTAAAAGGCGGTTTTGTTTTCTCAGGTGTAATTTTTATGTAGGGTTTGAGTTGAGGGAATCGATGAGTTTACAAGGGGAAACAAGGGATATATATACTTACTTGCGGCTTAGTGTGGCTCAAGGCTGCCACTACGCTTCGATATTAATGACTAATCAATACCTCCCCGGCTTACAGGAGCCGCCCAAAAGCTATAACGTATGGGTGTGCTGTGTGCTTGTTATCAGTTATCTTAACCCTCTATTTATGTTATTTGTATTCTTTTTTTCTTTATGTTTAACTCTTGAAATAAATACTGCTGTTCAGCCTTGGTATATCTATGTCCTTTAAACTTTTTCCTACATGATTTCTGCTAGTGCCTTGTCAGAGACCCTAAGGTCTTGTAGTGTTTCTGGTAATTGGGATAATGAGGTCTTTCTTCTTCTGTATAAGCTGAATCTGACTAAAGCTTGTTAGATGTGTGCTTTTATTATGCTTTAGTTACTTATGGTTAAAATAGTGCTATAGTAGATTATACGTTGACCTGCCTTATGTGGGTGTAATTTGGAAATGGGTAAATATATTGGATTTTATTATTAGATTTACTGGTTTTAGTGTCTATTGAGCGCCTCTGGTGCCCTTTCCTTTCTAAAGGCAAAGCTGATTCTTTATATAAGTGGTCATTGTAGAGGTGTTAGAGAGTACTTATAGAGCTATAAACTAGAAATCCTATACCTCTCTCTACTAAGACTTAGATACTGCACTAGACTTACAATTATTAGTAACTAATCACTCCTAGTCTAATATTATGCAGCTCTAGAAGTGTGGCTGGTTACTTCTGCAATTCTAAGCTATAATCAGTTTTGGAGCCTTAAGTAACATTATACAGGGAATAAAGTTGGCTTTATATTACTTATTGCCAGCACATTGCAAGGTCTACAGAATGCCTGTCAAGCATTAAAATTCTACTTTGAACCCGCCTAGTAAACGTTTGCAACCTACAGTTTTGGCATACATTTTTTATCCGATCGGGCGGCAGACGGTTTGGGAGGAAAAGTATTACATGTTTTATGGTTACTGTGTCATACACCGAAACCTCCCCGGCGTTGGCTGAAGGTAATGCAATTATAGATTGTTTCTGGATTCTATTGATTGCGTACGGCAACTCCCTCAAGTCGCTGCACATCTCTGTCACCCACAGCCTCAGGAAGCTGCAGACGGACTACATCGACCTCCTCTACGTCCACTGGTGGGACTTCACCACTAGCGTTGAGGAGGTCATGCACGGGCTTAACGCTCTGCAGGTAAGGTGCTGTACCTCGGGGTCTCGGATACGCCCGCCTGGGTGGTGGTCAAGACGAACGCCTACGCGCGAGCCCACGGGCTGCGGCCATTCTCCGTCTACCAGGGTAAGTGGAATGCGCGATGCAGAGACATGGAGCGCGGAGTCATCCCAATGTGTCGGGATCAGGGCATGGCGATTGCTCCGTGGGCCCCGTTAGGTCAAGGGCGGTTCAAGACGGCGGAGGCCCGTGAGGCGGCGCATGCAGGCGGAGGGCGCTCGGCCCAGATGAGCGAGGATGAGGTTAAAGTCTCTGAGGTGCTCGAAGCGGTTGCGCAGCTGAAGAGGACGAGTCTGCATGCCGTGGTATGTTGATGTTTTCTCATGATATGCAGTCATGGTTACTGACTAGGGGAGGCTCTCGGTCTACCCATTGGACAGTGAAAGGTCGAGCACCTTCTGGCGAACATCGAAACGCTCAACGTTGAGCTGTCCAGGGAAGACATGGACAAGATCGATACAGCTATATCCTTCGATCCGGGGTTCCCGATGAATTTCATCTTCCAGGACAAGGCCTACAACTTGAATATGACTGCTGCCGATGTGACTTACGCCCGCCTTTCAGCACACCTTTATTTTATTCCCCTCCTCATAAACAGCCAGTCAAGCCGCGCAGGGATATTTGAAGTTGTAGCTCGATATCTGGTGGGCTTCTATCATGCTATTAAATGTACATCAACCGCTAAGGTCATAGACAAGCTTCCTGTTTTGTATGAAAATGGATGACCCTGCAGGCAGACAACTATATGGTCTATTCAAGGAGCGATGATGGCATTGAAAGTTTGTCATTTATAAAGGAAAAGCTCATATAGTTAATCATGAAAATGAGCTCATTTAGTGATAGGATGTGGTTGGAGCGGTATTAAGATAAGTGCATATCAAGCTAATTTATATCATTAGGCCTAGGTATGACAGTCAAAGTAAATAGGGATGTAGTAGGAATACATCTATTTGAATGCTTGATGCGCGCGTTTTGAGCAAATTCTCTGTCTGCTGCGAACGGCTTGATGGAATATCGACGTTATTGATCAGTCTACTTTCGATACTGCCTGTTTTGCGAGAAATATCAATCTCCGAGTGAGCCCCGCGGTGAAGAAAAAGGGTGCGAAACGTCTTGTGCCTCGGGACTCATGATCAAGGTCAGTAAATATCTTTACAACATTTTCCAGGAGCTGTAGATCACTGCCGAAACTCTATGCATTGGGTTCGGTTGCAAACAAGTCAGGCCAACAGCTGTCAGGGAAGCTCGACTTCAGATCACGTAGTTCCTGATCAAGTTCGCGGATGTACTGAAGGCGCCTGGCATCGGGCTGTTCCCAGCCATAGTCAGAATACAGAAGATGATACACTTTCGACTTGATCAAGGAAAGGCGAATGTCCGAGGGGAATAGAAGCTCTTGAGATGACAAAGGTTTGATGAAGAATTGGTGATCTGAAGACGATAAGACGTAGTTGTCGGGCAGCTGCAAGTCGCAGTCCTCGTCTTTCATCAAAGGAGGGTAACCAAAGCGGATTGCCATGTCTTTATCAAGACCATAGCAGAGCCAGAATAGAGCCCGCAGATGTCTTCCTTCTGCCTCGTGGATGACATAATACCGGTTTCCTCCAAGAGTATACAACATCCGAACAGCCATGGCCAGCAATAATGACGCCGATCTCGCCTGACCGATAGGTAGAGTATAGGAGAACTGATCATTAGGAAGACACTCAAGCGATTTGGGGTGGAAGTGACTTACCAGTATAACGGCAGTCTCTAAAGTTCTCAGGTTAATCTCCTCCATCAAGAGTCGGGGCAGCAGTGTCAGCACCGTTTGCATGTACGCATCAGGGTCACTATCGGCAAACTCGGGCTCAAGACGGTGCATTTGCGTTACCATTGCAGTGAGTGCAATGAGACAAGCCACATTAGCAGTAGGACTTGAGTCAGGTGGGTTGTTCAGAATATTTGAGCCGAGTAATTTCTCCAATGCCTCAGTATTGACGAGGGGGAAAACCGAGTATAGCCCAGTAATGGTGTATACAGCGTCGTATCAACGCCACTGGTGGCCATTTTTGAGACACGATTCTGTTCGATTCTGCAGGAACCTGCATCCTAAATGATCGCGATAGATGGTATAAGAGCCGATCAATGTCGAGATGCGAGCCAGTCTGTTGGTGAACAACAGAAGAAAACGACGCTCTTTGGGCGGATTGACTCATTCCCATCCCGCAGTGCGCAAGGTGCCATTGAAACATGCTTAGTGCCGTGTCACAATCGTATAGATCTGGTAGATAGTCGGCGGCCAAATGTTGAAGAGGCAAATATTCCGGACATGCTGATTGACGCGATTCTCTGTTTCTGTGTTCGGCCGCTATCAAAGCTTCCAACTCCTGGATTCGTGCTTCAGCTTCGGCAAGCCGGCTGAAGAGGTGTGAGCCCTACGGAAGCTTAGACGAGCTCTGGTTTCTTACGTCTTAGCATCTTTTCGTGGCGGAGGCGAGCTCTCAGTAAAAATACAAGGCACGGACGCAAGACGACAGGTCTCACAGGCCGGCTTAGCATTGTCACACCGGATCTGTCAATCAATTGCGCTGACAGTGAGTGGCCAGTGCCTTCTGGTACACGGGTATAGGTCTAGATTGTCTAGTCTATGTACCTTTCTCTGTCGACACAGATCACAAGCAGTCCGCAGCCTACCACCCCGTCGAGTGGGAGGCAATCCACTCATTGTGACCAATATCAACCAGGAGATTGGCTACACAGGTCCAATAGGTGAAGGGCAAGTGGCTACCGTGCCGGATTGCTGAGAAATCGGAAAACATTAATTCCAGCCTATATAGAGAGGTACTGTAGGTTAAAAAAGGCATCTAGCAAGGTCGACATGTTGATGAGTCATTGGGAATGATCTTGCTGCGGAAGTAGGATACGACTACGTCGCCTATATCAAGGATCACCGTTTCAGGCTTCCACGATGGGAAAAGGCACTTGCAGATCACGATCCATGAAGGATTCTTGGCAGAAATGCTCGTGGAAACAGCTAATTGTTCCTGATCTACGCGTCAAGGTTCCCCAACCATTACTTTGCCATTCATGCGATTCGTCAGCTCTGTTTCCACCCGCTAGGCTGCTAAGCATAGCCAAAAAAGCGGCACTGCTCTATTTTCAATGTCCTATCAAATATCAAACTTTGATTCAATGCTGTTTCTACTCCTGATTAGAGTTGTCTCTGTCAGTCTCAGGTTAGAGTGACTGACGACGGTGATGACGAGTCATCATGACCATGAGCACAGTTATGGACACTACTCCTTCACCAGGAAAAGGCATTCCTGGGCTAACGAGGAGAGATGTATAAAGCATCCCTTCGCTATCAAGAATGAAACCCTTCAACTACATCTTAAGCAAGAACAAGCGAGCAGACACCCTGTGCTCTCTTCTCTCTCCTGTCTTCGACCATGCATCTCTCCCAACTTGGAAAGTTGGCTGTTGTGGCCATGGCTGGGCTTGCAATTGCTCATCCTGGTGCTCACGAGCCTAGCTCCTATACCGACCTGACCAAGCGAACCTTTCTCCGCAACGCCAGACGAAGCCTGGACCAGTGTGCTGACCACCTTGAGCGGCGGGGAGTTCATGCCCGTGCTGAAGCTCGCCGTGCTGCCTTGCTCGACAAGTACAAAAAGCGATCCCTCGCGGTTCGTGACACGGACAAAGTGGTGAACAATTCCCACCATTCCAATTTGGACGTGTCAGTCAACACGCCCGCGACAGAACTCTTCTCCAAGAACCCGGTCTGCATTCTTGCTCCCGAGGGCGAAATTGGACCCTTTTGGGTAAAGGGCGAGTTGATCCGACATGATATTTCTGATGGCCAGGCAGGCATCCCCATCATTATCGACGGACAGTTCATCGACATCAACACCTGCGAGCCCATCCCAGATCTCTACTGGGATGTCTGGAACTGCAATGCCACCGGTGTCTATTCCGGCGTCCAGAGCAGCATCAATGGCAATGGTGATGATGCCTCGAATCTCGACAAGACCTTCTTGCGCGGCATCCAGAAAACCGATGCGGATGGAGTGGCAGGCTTCAAGACCGTGTTTCCCGGACATTATTCTGGCCGTACAACGCATGTTCACGTTGTCGCGCATCTTAATGCAACGCTGCTGCCTAACAACACGTTGAGCGGCGGCTACGTTCCTCACATCGGTCAGCTGTTCATTGACCAGGATCTGATCTACAAAGTCGAGGCGACCTACCCCTACAACACCAGCACCGTGTCTATTACCAAGAATGCAGATGACCACGTTGTTCAAGCCGAGACCGAGGATAGCAACTCTGATCCGTTCTTTGAGTATGCCTATCTTGGTGACTCCATTGAAGACGGCCTTCTTGCCTGGGTCACCCTGGGAGTCAACGTTACGGCCAACCACGACTCATCTGTGTCATACGCTGCTACCCTTACATCTGATGGTGGTGTCACAAACGACAATAGCGCTGCAGGTGACCAGATTCCCTCCGGCTCCGCCGGTGCAATCCCGTCGGCATAAAATAGTAGCGATCGTTATGTTTAACAGTATTCTGGTTTTGAGGCAGCGTTCCGCGCAGTCATGGAAATGAAGCTTCCAGACAGCCTACTTCTAGACCGAGATCCTTGTAAAGGTCTGGACATCACCTTCTTGTGCATGGTTGTCTGTTTTCCAAATATACCATTATTCCATACTGTACCCCACATAGTCTTTCCTTCAATGCAGTCACTGTTCTCAACCTACCTTCCGTAATCCTGTACAATCTTCCAGGATCAATCTACTCCACCTTCTCTTGAAGCTTACTATCAGTAGCTAACCCGTTAGCCGCGGCCTAAGATTTGGCACCCCGCTATTCGGTACAAGGGTCCAGAGGCACGTCATCCGGCAGTCTCTAACCTCAGTATACCCCTCCACCGGACAGGATGAAGTTCATGATATTAGAAACTGAGCAAGACGGCAATCATGGTTGTTAAGCAAAGCTGCACCATGCTTTCTACAATCTCATAAAAAGCAATGTTAGCCTTGTTCATAGCTGCAGAAATATACCCGTGGAGTGGGAGGAACCGCCTGCACATGACCACGAATGCCGGCTTCAAGGGTTCAGTATTTGCGATCATTAATAAGCAAGGCACTCTTCGAATATATATAATATGAGTCAGATCTAGCAGTTTTCGGACGGATTCACATGAGCCAAGGACCAAAGTGCCAAGAGAATAAGCATCGAAGGGACTCTTCAGCTTGACCCCGGCTTTAATCCCCTCGTGCCTCGCATAAGGGGAAATGCCGGTCACGAGTCACAGGGAGAAGTGTTATCACCGTATTATATATAACCTGCAGGTAGATAGTGCTGCTAAGAGTCAGCCATGTAACCCAAGGAATTGCCAAGCATTTTCTCGAGTCAGTCCGACGGACTATAAATGCTTTCCCATTGGACGCAACGAGGAAAGTCGCGGCATTTACTTCCCATATTGTACACCCAAGACCAGCTTGTACCGGCGGCAATATAAAAGTCTTGTTGGAGTAGATGCTGCAGCAAAACGACGCGGACATCCGACGGACAGGTCTCTGAAATCCTCGTGAAGATTGCGCCCATAGTCCACTTTCCATCAACCATGCAGATTGTTATCTTCAGCAAATTCTCACGCGGTCATGCACTCATGCACTCAATTCAGAGCACAGTCCGCAATGCTTACAGATCAGGCTTATCTCTGTTAATGTGACTGTCTCGGAGCAGCGATGCGGGGAAACGGACACTTACCGTCTTGCAATATCCCATGATGTGTATAGCTCCGGACTGGGTCGGGCCAAGATCGGACAGTTCTATCTTGACGATGATGATGAAGATGATGACCTGAAGCAGATGCTCTGGTATAAATACTCAGCTGGAGCTCATAGAGCTCTCCTCAGAAGCATCCCAATTTGAATCTGGTATCCCTCTTCCTCAGATCACATCAACATGCGAGGCCTTCTTCTGGCTGGGGCTCTTGCCCTACCTGCTTCTGTCTTTGCCCATCCCGCTCATCAGACTCAAGGACTCCAGCGTCGTACTGTTGATCTGAACGCTTTCCGCTTGAAGTCCCTGGCCAAGTATGTCAATGCGACAGAGACCGTCATCGAGGCCCCGTCCTCCTTTGCCCCTTTCAAACACCAAAGCTATGTGGAAGCGGCGACTCAGCATGTCAAGATGGTTATCCCTGATGCGACCTTTCGGGTGGTTGATGACCATTATGTTGGTGACAATGGTGTCGCCCATGTCCACTTCCGCCAGACAGCCAACGGTCTCGATATCGACAATGCCGATTTCAATGTCAACGTATGTATCATGTTAGCAGTGTTTGTCTCTCGCTAACGAGGTGTGCAGGTTGGAAAAGACGGAAAGGTCTTTTCGTATGGCAACTCTTTCTACACCGGCAAGATCCCAAGTTCGGCCTCTTTGACGAAGCGCGACTTCTCCGACCCGGTGACTGCTCTCAAGGGAACTACAAATACCCTGCAGCTCCCCATTACTGTGGAGGGCGCGTCTTCCGAGAGCGCAGGGGAGAAGGAGTCGTACGTTTTCAAAGGGGTCTCTGGGACTGTCTCCGATCCCAAGGCCAAACTGGTCTACTTTGTCAAAGAAGATGGAAGCCTCACTTTGACATGGAGAGTTGAGACAGACATTGATAGCAACTGGCTCTTGACCTACATCGATGCCAAGAGTGGCAAGGAGATCCATGGTGTGGTGGACTATGTTGCTGAAGCAGACTACCAAGTATAGTGAGTATCGAGTCAATCCACTCCAAGAAAACTTACAGACATGATTCCAGCGCGTGGGGAATCAATGACCCAACAGAGGGCTCGCGGACGGTGGTCAAGGATCCTTGGGACTCCGTCGCGTCGGAGTTTACCTGGATCAGCGATGGCAGCAAAAACTATACGACTTCTCGCGGCAACAACGGGATCGCGCAGTCCAACCCCAGCGGTGGATCAAGCTACCTGAACAATTATCGCCCTAGCAGCTCGAGCTTGTCGTTCAAGTATCCCTATACCACGAGCTCGTCGCCTGCCTCATCCTACATCGATGCATCGATCATCCAGCTCTTCTACACGGCCAATACCTACCATGATCTGCTTTACACCCTTGGCTTCAACGAGAAGGCCGGTAACTTCGAGTACAACACCCACGGGCAGGGCGGTAGTGGAAACGACTATGTGATCCTGAATGCCCAGGACGGCTCTGGCACCAACAACGCCAACTTTGCCACTCCTCCGGATGGCCAGCCCGGCCGCATGCGCATGTATGTCTGGACCGAGTCGACGCCGTACCGCGACGGCTCCTTTGAGGCCGGAATCGTGATCCACGAGTATACGCATGGTCGTACGTATATCTTGATTGTTCTTGAGAATCTAGGCATTAACGTTTTGCAGTTTCCACCCGTCTCACCGGAGGCCCTGCCAACTCCAACTGCCTGAATGCCCTCGAGTCGGGCGGCATGGGCGAAGGCTGGGGTGATTTCATGGCCACGGCCATCCGCCTCAAGTCCGGTGACACTCGCTCAACCGACTACACCATGGGAGAATGGGCTGCGAACCGGCCAGGCGGAATCCGCTCGTACCCGTACTCGACCTCGATGAGCACCAACCCTCTCACGTACACCAGCCTCAACTCGCTGAACGAGGTCCACGCCATCGGCACGGCCTGGGCGACAATGCTGTACGAGGTGATGTGGAATTTGATCGATAAACACGGCAAGAATGATGCGCCGAAGCCAACGCTCCGCAATGGTGTGCCGACAGATGGCAAGTACCTCGCCATGAAATTGGTCATGGATGGAATGGCGTTGTAAGTTGCCGAGAAAATCGTTCGAGAGTTAATCATGCGCTAATCAAGAGACAGGCAACCATGCAACCCCAACTTCGTCCAGGCCCGTGATGCTATCCTTGATGCTGATACTGCCCTGACTGGTGGTGACAACCAATGTGAGATTTGGAAGGCATTTGCCAAGCGTGGTCTAGGTGCTGGTGCGCAGTACAGCTCGAGGAATCGTGTTGGAAGTACTCAGGTTCCCAGTGGTGTTTGTTAGTAAGGAGTCTAAGGACATACTGAGCAATAAGGGGTAGTTTAATGATCCTCATGACATTTCTTGGCACTATTACCTTTATCCCGCAAATTCCCTTGCAAATTGCAATAAGCGGGGGATAAATAGGGTGAATCAACAGCACACCATGAATGATTAACCAATCCTGGACTGCTGGTACCTATCTAGCCTGGTTCTACTAATAGTAAGACAATTCTGGTCAGGAAATGAGCACGAGAATCTGGACCAATTGAGCCCCCTGATTTATAGCCAAGAAAGTAGCCGAGTTCAGGCCCAGCAAGAGTCTCGAACACGGCCAATAACTGCCCACAGCAAGATTAACAACAATCCCAAAGAGGTTACGTCTAAGACCATTAGATGATAGCTGATCCATTGCTGCCCTGCCTTTTGATCCTGGCTTTGTAGACCCTGCCACACTACCTTGGTTCATTTCGGAGGGTTCTTGTAGAGGCTGAGAGCAGTCCCATACTTAAGCCTAGTGGTCCCCTTTCCATCTTCCAACCATAAAGCATCAGTCTGTTCAGTCTGTTCAGTCTGTTCCAACTACTATTCATTCCTTGCTTTGCATTATCACAGTCACTCTTTAAGTTTTGTTCATTATTCAGACGTGTTGTCTGCTTCTATCTAAAAGAATACGAGGATCAACATGATGCGCTCCGTGATTCCCCTGATCGTCTCGCTTGGCTCGCTGGCTGCAGCCATTAACATCACCAGTCCTGCGGCCAACACCACCTACGCAGCCGGGTCCACTGTGACCGTCAAGTGGACCAGCGTCGATACCGATCCCACCAACTTCAGCCTCTATCTCTGGAACTTTGTCTCCTGGCCTCCAACCTATGTTCCGCTGGCCCTGGACATCCCAACGGCCGATCTGTCCCACGCGGTCCAGATCCCCTGCGACACCAACCCCGAATGGGGCTACCGGATCAGCGGCATCAACGGCACCAACGTCTACATCATCTACGCGCAGGGCGACAAGTTCACCGTCTCCGAGCCCGTCGACGGCACCGACTGTGTCGACCCTGCTCCTGTGCCCACGCCGTCCACCTGCCCCAGCGCTGCGGCGTCTACCGTTTATGTCACGGTGAGCCCTACCGGTTCCAGCTCCCGTCTTTTCCATCCTTCCTCCCACGTCTCCTCTCCTTCACCCAGCACCACTGCAACCTCCAAATCTGTGAAGCCCGGAATCGTGCCTAAGACTATTGGTTGGTGTTCAGACTACTCCCACCCTGTGACCTTGGACAAGGTTCCCACCCCGACTCCAGCGCCTATGGTGACTCCCGCCCCGGGCCAAGATCCGGGTGCTCGTGGTCCTCGTGTCAAGACCATTACTACGACTGTGAGTGTCGAGGCTTGTCCGATCGACGCGATCTGATGGAGTCTCCGCGGGGAGTCTGTTGAATGGTGCAGTCAGATTTAGTTTCTTCTGCCTTTGTATTTGTCCAGTACTAGGTATACTTTGTAGTAAATATTGTAGGAGACATTTTATGTAACAATAGTCGGCTATTATTAACTCTAGCTAGTTCTACTGCGTAGCATATCGTCCTCGGCTGTTTAACTCCCGTCCAGTTACTCTACGCATGGCTGAATGGGACACTAACAAAAGCATTTGGTTCAATTTCAAGAGGTCCTTCCGAGCCAGTCAGTTGGTAGCTCACACCAGTCATTAATGTTGAGAATCTGCTATGATGCCGGGTCTCTATATTTGTGACATATATCTGTAGGAGTTGTCGCATGGCTGGCAAAAATACAAGGTGAACTTTGGTACAGCAATAGAGGCTTCTGCTTGTCATACTCTTGGGATTGACTGGGGTAGCACCAAGGAAAATATAGAAATGATGAATATCAGTCAAGCATTCTTGGCCATTCTCTATGCAGACTTGGACTCTTGGTAAAGACTTGTGAAAACAAGACAAAATAAAGCTCGGCCAAGATATCCGCTCACTCATATCTTCTGCAGAGTGCAGACAAGAATAACGGATCACTCTTGTAGAGCATACAGAGCCTACAGGGTCTAAATTTGGCTGTTCTCCCGATCGACACGAGCCGGACTCTATTTTTGGGATACCAAATTGTGCCCTGGCAGTCCAGGTCCAGGAACACGAACGCTAAGCTTCGTATTATGGTTGCATCCGAGATCAGCCATCCCCACCACTCCAAAAATGGTCCAGCTAGGATATTTGTCGATACATTTCACGAGATGCATACGAGATAGACCCTGATCCTTCCCCCAGGTGGGGCCAAAGTTTCCCCAAGGCCCTCATCCTGCGAGCCATTCCTCTCGTATACGGACGCGGGCTGTTTGAAGTAATTTCCGAGGCAGACCGGGGCAATTCTCATTTGCCCTCGCTCTTGTTCTATACGAGGGCATGGATGATCACCGTGTTCATGGTCGACAATGGGGACACCAGACTCGAGTTTACATCTTTTGGAAGATCATGCAAAACGAACATGACGTCCAGGTCCGCTATATAAAGGACAATTGCACCCCTCTGTCAGGGTCTTCTCATCACCATCAACATCTTCATCCTCAGTCTCAAAGATCAAGGCAATCATCGGAATAATCTCATCAGAACCTCTTGAATAAACCGACATCATGTTGTACCTTCCTCTCGTTGCTCTCTCCTTTGCTGCCACCGTTCCCCTGGTGAGCGCATACCCCATCACTGGCGATGGAGTCAACTGCCGTTCCGGTCCTGGCACCGAGCACCCCGTGGTCAAGTCCTACCCCAAGGGCCATGAGGTCTCCATTGTCTGCCAAGCTGCCGGCACCGACGTCAAGGGCGACTCGATCTGGGACAAGACGTCCGACGGCTGCTATGTCGCCGATTACTACGTGAAGACCGGTAGCTCCACCTATGTCACCAAGCACTGCGATGGCGGCAGCGATGGTGGCAGCGGCGGCGGCAGCAGCGGCAGTCTCCCCGGTCTCACTGCCACTCAGTCCGCTCACGCCCACAAGGTCATCGATGAGGCAAAGAAGGAGGGCCTGGGTCGTCAGGGTTGCCTGGCTGGTATCGCGACTGCCTTGGTCGAGGTGAGTCGATCCTCTTCGATCTTCAGTTGTAGTCATGTACTGATCGAACTAGTCCAACCTTTTGATGTACGCCAACAGCAAGGTCCCCGAGTCCCTCAAATACCCCCATGACGCCGTCGGCCACGACTACGACAGCGTCGGCATCTTCCAGCAGCGTGCTGTCTACTACCCCGACATCGCTGCCGACATGGACGCTGCCCGCTCTGCCGCTCAGTTCTTTGCCAAGATGAAGAACATCAGCGGCTGGAAGACGATGAATGTCGGCAAGCTTTGCCAGAAGGTGCAGGTCTCGGCCTATCCTGATCGCTATGAGCAGCGTGTGCCGGCTGCTGAGAAGATCTGCGCTGCTGGTGGATTGTAACCTTTCTCTCGATGCGTCAACAGCGCAGAGTGTTAGGACTGTCGAATTTTCTTCTACCATTCTCATTACCGTTTGTTTAGATTATGTATATTTTACTCTCCTATATTCTGTCTTGTTGATAGCAATTGACTTGAATCACTCAGCTACGGTATAGCTGACCTTGGACTTGCCGGCCTTCCTCGTAATCTTCCTCACCGTAGTCGAGCCACACAGATCCGTCGTATCGACATGCGTGCCTCCACAGGGATACACCTCCGCTCCGACGATATTGACCACGCGAAACTTCTCGCCGGGGGCAATAGACACAGAACCGCGATCGGGCAGCAGTCGCTCCAGTCCCCGTCTTCGAAACTCCTTCTCATCCCACCAGTCCACCTCGACGGGCAACTTGGCGTCAACAAACTCGTTCACTTTCGCCTGGATCGCATCCTTCCATTTCCCATCGATAACACCCTGGAACTCACACGCCGCCGCGTCAGGGAAATGCGACGCCTTGAGCTCGTCGAACCCCTCCACCTCCTTTTCCAAGAGGTGTCGGACCGCCGCGCCGAGGACATGGCCCGCTGTATGCAGACGCGAGTACAGCAGACGCTTATCTGCGTCTATTGCTTGCTCGACTGTATCGCCCTCGGAGAAGACGGTGGGTTGGTTGAACCGACCAAAGTGGAGGACTTGGCCCTCGCGTACTGCGTCCATGCGGACCGCTGCGACCGTGAACGCTACACCCGAGGCGTGGGCCATGGTGCCCTCGTCCGATGGCTGTCCGCCACCCTGGGGATGGAAAATGGTCTGCTCTGTGATAACCGCGTAATCTTCATCGGTGCCTTGCTTGAAGAGCTGGCGGTTGGATTCTTCCAAGGCTGCGAACGGGTGGATGGCCTTCACGATGGTTTGAAGATTGTGGAGCTTGGCATTGTGCTGGAAGGCGAGAAAGGTGCGGTCGGTCCAGGTCATTATTAGTTGAAGCAAGTCTCAGTTGGATTTAAGCTTGTAGAATGAGAGTTACTATGGTGTGGCACTATGAAAGAGACAAGTGGCTTCATTATTTTTCCTTGCGATCTTCCCGCGGCACAATAAGAGTAACGTAATCTCCCAACGGGGAATAGCGTCAACGCTCTCTGCTGCTGCGTGTATTTATTTCCATCTCGAAGAACGATTATTCTGAAGGGCAAATCATTATACGCTTTACCACCAGTAAAGCAAGTGTGCTTTTAACAGTCATTCCAGGATATAGCCCACATCTGTCTGCCAATGCCCGACCAACATTTACACCAACGCGCCCGATGTCGACCTAGCAGTGCTAGCAGTCAAGGATGAAAGACTCCAAACGAAGGAGAGACGCATGTGCATCAAATGATGTGATAGCTAGATATATCTCAGTTGTCGCATAGAGCGCAGCATCCGGTACACCCCAAACAAGGTGGCATAGATGCCTGCGCCGGCTGTGGCCCAGGCCGGGGCCTGCAGACGCAAGGACGACATGGGAATAGGACCTGGCTGTTTGTAGGTATCCGATCGGACGACGTGCTTGCGCCTTCGGTCTGTGTCTGACAAGTTGTTGTCATCCTGCTTAGCCCAGTCCCTGTTGATGTTCACCATCCACAAGTAGCATACCTGAGGGGGTTTGAATCCTCTGCCTTAGAGTACCAAAGAGAGGTCTTGAACGACCGACAATTGCTTGATACATGTTCGTGGTAGACTTCAATCCGGGAATCGAGTACAGAGATCTTGTTAGCTTTGAAGTAGATGGGATATTGTTCATATAATCAATGGACACTACGGTATTATGAGCAAACGACAAGAAGACAAATGTCTCGATAATAAGAGTCCGGGGGCGACTGGCCATGATCAAGCAGTCATAAGACCCGACATTCTGTGGAGTGGCGAATTTCATCATGACTTCCCCGGATTCGAGAAAGCCAACATCCTACCAAGGTACCGATGCTGTCAGAGAAATAAACAGCCAGTCAGTGGTTCGTCGACTATCCAATCGTTTTTAGGATTCTTCATGTTTGCGCGGTTGGCTCGATAAGGTTATGGTTAGCGCATTCAGGTGTATGGACATTTATATATAGATGCATGTTGTCCACGAGCTTTTGGAAACAGTCATGCACGGACCCTGAGCATTCAAAACGAGTTCTTCCCCGGGATTGACTCGAGTGACTCGAGTGCCGCGTTGTGGTGTCGACAGGCTGATCTACAAGTTGGCAAAACAAGGAGGATGCGGATAGTTGCATGGTAGTGAATGTTATCCTGGTTCATCACCTTTGAGCGACAGTTATGGGATGGTGACTCCGCAAGGTGGCTTGTAGGACTGATATTGAATGGCTGTGCAGAGCCAGGGGTGCAAGGGATAGTACATAAGGCATGACCATCCCACCATTCTGCCATAAAGTTCCTTCAGATTTGTCTCCTTCGACTCGGTCATTTCCTATGGAGCAGATGCTGACGTCGATCGAGTTTATATCGTATACCGAAAATGAGGATTATCTCGCAGAAGGAAAGCCAGAGCCTAACATTCGCTCTCAAACCTTGATTTACCATTCAGGAGACTCCAAATGGTGGATAAAAGTAACGTTCAAGGGCGAGACCTCCCATGGACTGCAGCAAAAGACCTCGAAACGCGAACGTCGCAAAGAATTCCAAAGCTTCCTCCAGCACATAGACTATTCCTCGTTGCCGCTTCTGGATGACACTGTAACTGAAGTGCTTTTGGACGATCTTGCCGAACCCCATTATGCGACATTGCCGCTACGAGAAACTGAAGAATTTACCAGCAGCGTTTTCGCAACGCTTGCCAGAACATTGAGATACACAACGCGGGAAGATCCTTCGAGGGTCGTCTATCCCTCGTGCCATGAATTCCCTTCGTTTCCACAGACCAACATGGCAGAATTGTCACATGAGATCGACATTGCTGCCGGAGTTTCCAAAGTGTTCGATGTCCATAACAAGACACCCTATATTCTCAAAGTTGTGAATCGACCCCTCTATCTGCCCCATGACACAGGTATTATACGCAGGGAGCTTGAAAACCTTGGAATCTGCAAAGGTGTACCCAACATCGTACAAGCAGCTGGTATTGCAGTGTCTACGAACCCTTATATGACGTCCAGCGCGAGGGATCAGCTTCTTGTCGTGATTGGTATTCTGCTAGAATTTCACAGTGGCGGTTCTTTACAGGAAGTCCTGAATGAGGGTCGTCTCTTGGATCATCCTTGGGAAAGTTGGGCAATACAGATTGCAACCGCGCTGGCTCATCTGCATGGGGCTGGGATCACCCATATGGATATTAAACCTTCAAATGTTGTCCTTGATTCAGACGGAAATGCGATACTTATCGACATCAGTGGCATTGGCGGAGTCACATATAGGTGGTGCGCCCCGGAGATACGAGATGAAATATCACCAACCGCTCTCCCTTTTGAGGCGCGCCGGCTAAACGACCTATGGGCTTGTGGGCAGCTTTTATCAGAGATTGTATCGCGTGCAGAACACAGCCCCATTACGAAAATGTTGAGGCAGATTGCGGATTGTCTCACAAAAGAAAACACACAGTCACGTATGACTTTATTGGAAGCTATCTCACAACTGGAAGCTGCTGGCGTTGGCAAGGTGTGGAAAATGTAACTAGGGAATGGTACTAATGTATCCAGCCTCTACCTTTCAAGCAGCCGGAAGAACCCAGGTGGTCACAGATTGGCTAGGAACGTTCCCACTCCACTGCTGTCCGCTCTTGGTAGTGACAGTCACGTAGACATCATTGCCAAAAGTGTTTTCAATGACCACAGTGCGGGTTCCATCGGGGTTCAACGAAGCCACTGACTGGATGCCGCCACTGCCAGAGTATGTGTAGCTGCCACTGCCATTGAGCACAATTGCACCAGGGGGCATGAACTTGCTGAATTGCGCCATCATGTAGTACGCTGTGTTGAGCGTGTAGCCTCCGTTGTTAATGGTCACCAAGCCTTGACATGTGGCGCAGCCGCCAGTGGACAGATGCGGACCATCCTGGGCGTTGGTCCCCAGAGTCCATGCTGCAACTCCCGAGGCCCAGTTCTGCAGGGGACCCATGGTGAAGTCAGCCGCTTGATTCCATGAGCCGGCGGGGGTCCAGCATTCGGTCATGTATTGCTTCACTCCAGGGTTTGTGTTGTGGAACTGGCTTAGCACGGTCCAGTCGACGTTGGGAGCGTAGCAGTGCCAGGCGACCGACTTGACGTACTGACCGGCCTGGTTAAGGACGGTCTGGGGATACGATGGGACGTCTGTGACAGGTGAGCTTTGTTGCTGTTATATCAATGGAACCACTTACCAGTGTTGTGGTCATAAGCCCAGATTTCAGTATTGAGCCCGGCGCTGGCAAGAGCTGGGCCGATATAGTTTTGGATCAGCTGTGCCGACTCATAGTCATAGACATACATGGTGGGATAACCGGCCGAGCTGTACAGTGGCTCGTTCTGGATGGTAATCGCGTCGACCTGAGCACCGAGATTCTTATAGGCTTGGATGTACTTGACAAGGTACTGCGCGAATTGACTGGCGTAGCCCGTACTACCAGTGCCGCCGCTGGTCAGATATCCATCGTTCAAGTTGTTGTTGTTCGTATTGCCATCGATGACGCCGTTCAGCTTCATCCATCCTGGCGCGCTCCAAGGAGAGCCGAGGATCTTGAGGTTGGGCTGCAGAGACTTCATCGTAGCCAGCATCTTGGCCATGGCCGTTCCCCGGTCGCCCAGATTGAATCCCGACAGTGACGGATCGGCATTGCCACCATTGTCATCGTACGTGTAGGCTGGGTCGCCGGACAGATCGGATGCCCCAATGGTGTGTCGCATCAAAGCAAAGTTCGCTCCGGCAGATGTCATCAATTTATTGAGCAGGTCCTGCAACACGGAGGCAGACAAAATGTTGAACGAGGAGACCGTGGCATCGGTGACAGCAGCACCAAACCCAACAATAGTCTGTTTGTGACCGGACGATGTGTCGTCAACGGTCAATTGCCAGGTTGATTCAGAGCCAGGGGTTCCTGCTCCTTGGACCGGAGCTGCTATGGCGGAGAGCTTGTAGTTGCCGGCCGAGTTGGAACAGTATGCCGACGCAGATCCAGCCCGCCTCTCTGGTGTGGCATGGCTCAGGGCAGTCAAGCCAAGCAGAGCACCGACGGATATACGCATTGTCAAAGAGAAGTAAGTGCTTATCTTGCTCTGGATATTTCTGGTGTCGGTAGAAGGTACTGGTTGAAAGATCTCGGAGCAGACAGGCGCAGTCAGGCCTGATTTTATACCCACAGGCGGGTTCATAGGCCGATATGAATTCGGCACTTGCTTTTGGCAGGAATTAAGCTACAATCCCTCCTCGAGTGTATTATTGGTCAGAACAATCCAGGTGCATCTTTAGGAGCAAGTAGCAACACAAGCATTAACTCGGCGGAGTACGGGGCATGAAGAATACTACCCACAGGATGAGGATACCACAGTATCATGGACTAAGGCAAGCCTCAAACCTCTCAGAACAAGCTCAGTGATCAATATGGTATTGATCTTCAGCCCCTAATCAATGCCGACGTCTTCAGCCCCCGGACTTCGCCATGGCTGGACTTTTAGCTCTGATACCTCAGACGGACTCTCGACCAACAAGGCTAAGCCTGCCGCTGTAAACAGCATCATACCTCTCCTGACAGTAGTAAATTTATATCAAAGGGGGACAGGATAAGCCCCATAACCCACCTTTCTTACCTGAGTCCATCTTACGTGAGAATTAAGGATCACGCAGCGGGTATACTTGACAGTTTCGGTTTAGTGTGGAGTATGGAGGATGTACTTGGATGCGCCTGGAACGGGCTCCGTGCATCATCAGTTCTTGAAAAGAGAGCATAATAATACTAACTATCATGACTTTCTTGACAGTTGACACCCCTGAAGAAGACGTCTAGCTCAGTCATAAGCCTCTATGGCATGACACTAGCGCCCCCATGGGTCCCCCGCATCTACACCGTCTTTGTCTTCCTCAAAGAGACCATTTTCCCGAAAAGGTAATGCGGGGGTGACTTCATCCAAATCATCCAATTCTCCATTTGCTCCCATGTATTGTTGTTCATTACAATCGAGCCTATCGAGGAAGTAGAGGGAAGAATTGTTTCTGCCTCAGGCATGCAGGCCCTCGCAAGCTGACTTCCCAATACGGTTACCTCCTCGTACTGCCGTGCCCCTCCGATGTTGTTGCGTCAATCAACCATCGTCAAGTCATCGGATATACTCTCGTTTCTGTCATCAATTGACAGCCAAAAAGCCAGTTGATTCAGTCAGTCGGTACAATGGCATCCATTCTACCCCGTACTGGCTTGAGAGCCCTTTCTGCGCTTCCCAGAGCTGGCCCTGTCTCGAGATTGGCTTTCTCCCGCCAGCTTCCTCGCGCCCAGCCCCTCGTGCAGCCCTTCGGTCGCAGATTCCTTGCGACGGTTCCCCAGGAACAGCCTCGCCTGCGTCTTGGTTCTACTGGTAACTTATTTCTCCCCCTGCTTCTGCTGTACACCCTGCTCATATATATTCTCTGCCTGTAGCTCCGAACTTCAAGGCTCAGACCACCAAAGGCGAAATTGATTTCCACGAGTTCATCGGAGACAGCTGGGCCATTCTCTTCTCTCATCCCGCCGACTTCACCCCAGTATGCACGACCGAACTCGGTGCCTTTGCCAAGCTGAAGGGTGAATTTGACAAGAGAGGCGTCAAGATGATCGGTCTGGTAGGTAGTTCTCTCAATTGGAGCAGGTTATGATACTCATAGATCATTTATAGAGCGCGGACGATCTCAGCTCTCACGGCGACTGGGTCAAGGATATCAACGAAGTCGCATCGACCACCGTTCAGTTCCCCATCATTGCCGATCCCGAGCGCAAGGTCGCGTTCCTCTACGACATGATTGATCAACGCGACCTGGACAACATCGCCGAGAAGGGCATTCCTTTCACCATCCGGGCGGTTTTCATCATCGACCCTGCCAAGAAGATCCGTCTGACAATGCTGTATCCTGCTTCCACCGGCCGTAACTCCGCCGAGGTCCTGCGTGTGATTGATGCTCTGCAGGCGGCAGACAAGAAGGGCATTGCCACTCCCATCGACTGGACCGTTGGCGAGGATGTCATTGTTCCGCCGTCCGTCTCGACCGAGGACGCTAAGAAGAAGTTTGGCAATGTGCGGGAGATCAAGCCCTACCTGCGCTACACCAAGTTCTAGGTGGCTTCCAATTCAGTAGACTTGTAACAACAATAAGATTTTCATTATATGCAGCGTGATATGTCAAAGTAGCCTTGCTATGAGCACTACGTCAGCTCTCACATCTTGGTTCGCCAACTTGTTCGCTTTACTGGTACTGGCGATAGGTCACTTTTCAGCACGCATCGAGTAATGACAGCTTCGGAACTGTAGACTCGATTGATTGAACCAATGCTTCGTGTCGCTGGCGTTCCGCACTGCCGTGTGCTGTCTCACTAATTGCTAATGGCTGGCCAAGTCAAGGCCAACTCCTGGCCTCGCACGAAGAAACGGTACAGCCCGTTTCCGGGCCGCAAGCGGGCTGACAGTCGCACAGCAGTTGTCATCGCAGTGGGACAAAAGGCTATAAGGCAGAGTCCTTCGCAGAACGAGTCTCAGTGGTCTTCGCAGTCCCGATTGTAGCTTGATTTGCGGATTCAAGATGCCTGAAACCAATAGCAATAGTTCAGTGCACATATGCCGTATCATTGAGCAAACAAGGCACATACGTCTCGACGATACATCAAGTAAGACGGCTCCAGCTGTTGTCCGGGCTAGGAGAGAGCAAAACTAACTATTCCAAAGGAAAGATTGCGTCCACCATCGGACAACTTTCTCAAATCAGAGACGTGATCGAGATCTTGCGAAACCTGGGCCATGTCCGCGAATCCTCTGCTCTAGCCGATGTGCTTCGCGTGTGCACCCAACCGCACGAACTTGGAGGGCTGGGTCTAGACGACGCGAGCGACCTGACAGCGCAGCAAGAATCAGAGGTTCTGTTCCTCGTGTCTGCCTGGCTGGAAGGGCTTAATTCGGAGGATAGGTCCAGATCGATGCTTGCTCCGCTGCCATCAAGGCCTCCAGGTCGGCGTGGGATGACTCTAAGCGAGAAAATCTTCGCGTTGCACGACGTGGTTCATAGAGGTTGGGTGGCTCCCGGAGATTTGATTCGGGTCGATGTCGATTGGGTGATTGCGTCGGAGGCATCATGGGCCGTGAGGATTTACCATCACGACTTCTTCTCCGCCGCTAAGGCAGTTCATTAGGGCATGGAGACTACGTACAACGATCTAGGCAAGCCGGGGATTCATCGCAACGATCGTTTCTGGCTCGCCGGTGATCATGTCGTAGATCCTCGAATCAGAGACGTTCCGAAGGTTCGCGCGCTCATTGACGCAAGTGAGAGGGCAAAGCGAGTGTTCAAAATGACCGAGTACCAGGGAATGAACGTTGGTCATGATACCCTTAACTCCAGGGAGATGCTAACATGGTTTAGTATACTATTATCCACACCGAGTTCTACAGGGAACGAGCGCAACCTGGCATGCTGATCATTGGCTCCGACTCACATACGTGCTCCTCTGGCGCATTGGGATGTCTGGCGATTGGACTCGGGGCAGCAGATGTGACTCTCCCCTTGGTAACAGGAGAGACGTGGTTCAAAGTTCCCGAGTCCATCAACATCCGTCTCTCGGGCGTACCTAAGCCTGGAATCGGCGGAAAAGATGTTATCCTATACATCTTGCAGCAGTTGAAGAGGAATACTGTCGCTTCTGACAGGATCGTCGAGTTTTCTGGCACCGGTGCGCAGTATTTGTCTGCTGATGCTCGATTTGTTATTTGCAACATGACAGCGGTACGTCAATGCCGTTGAAGCCTTTATGCCTTGCTTATTGAAGAAGGAACTCGGTGGGATTACCGGGGTATTTGTGCCTGACGAAATCACGCGCGACTTCGTGGCCAACAGACGCTTACAGCAACACAAGAATCTCATCACGTACTTCAGACCCGACAGCGATGCGCAGTACGCCGCAGAACTTGACATTGATCTTGGAAATGTTCAATCATTCTTTGCTCGATACCCGAGACCAGATGATGTGGTTCCTGTCTCGGATTATGCAGGAATGCGGTTGGATGGTTGCTTTATTGGAGCTTGCACCACAACCGAGGAGGACCTCATCCTTGCTGCTCTTGTGCTGGAACAAGGGCTAAAGAAAGGCTACCAGCCAGTTAAGCACGGCAAGAGGAAGATGGTACCCGGGTCATTGCCGATCCTGCGCAGACTACGCGAATTATGCCTCACCGACGTCTACGAAGCGGCGGGTTTTGAGATTGGGGTACCAGGCTGCAGCTACTGCGTTGGCATGTCGGCGGACCAGGCAGCTCCAGGAGAAGTCTGGCTCTCATCCCAGAATAGGAATTTTGAGAATCGCATGGGGAAAGGTTCGTATGCGTGCCGCTTAACGGCATTCTTTCGCTGAAGGATGCAATGCAGGGTCAATAGGGCATCTAGGCTCTGCCGCAACTGTCGCTGCATCCTCATTCGAAATGAAATTGACCGACCCTCATGACTTGCTTTGTGGGATCAATTGGGAGCGATGGATATCCTTGCGCGGGTCTTCTGGACTGATTGCGAACACGGACGCGGCTTCTCATCTGACCTATGTTGAGCCAAGCGACTCTCCTGCTCTCTCTCAGGAGAGACCTGAATCAAGTATTTTCTCCAGATACACACAAGAACCCCCGTTTCCTGGAACCCTGCGTGGCAAGGTCCAGCTGCTAGACGACTTCATCGACACAGATGCGGTATGCTCAAATAACTACTGGTATTCTTTTGTTAGGCTACATTTGCTGATACATCCATAGCTAGCACCGGCTGAATTCTTGATGGACATGAAAACTAATGAGCAAAGTGGTCTGCATTGCCTGCAATACACCCATCCGTTGTTCCGTCAACGAGCCAAAGAAGGCTTCAACATCGTTGTGGCTGGTCAAGCCTTTGGCTGTGGATCGTCGCGCGAACAGGCCGTCATGGCATTACTTGGTGCGTGATACCACTCCCACACCTACTTTTGCTGATAACATCTCAAGGCTGCGGTATCAAATGTGTGATCGCAAAATCGTTTGCCTTTATCTTTCAACGG